GCCCCAAGGACTGCCGGGGCGTCTGCAGCAGCAGATTGGGCCGAGTGCCCAGGCCCCTCGGCGCGAGCTCCTTGAACGGCCCCGTCTTGCCCGGCTGGGCTTCGGTCGCGTCGCGGCGGGGGGTCCCCGACGACTGGTAGGGCGGCCCAGCCGCAGCCGTGGGGCCCGCCAGATGCCGGGCCATGGGCTTGAACCGCTCGCGCGGCATCAGGCACTGCGCGAGCGCGAGCACGATCCAGACTGCACCCCTCGACGCGCCAAGGGCCAGCGCGAGCTCGAAGGCCGCCGGCCAGGGCAGCGGGCGCCCAGCGAGACCGGGCGCGCACCACTTGAGGGCGATGGCCGCCCGCCCGCTTCGCGGCGGGAATGCCTTGCCGGCCTGGCGCGCTTCCGGCAGGAGGCGGCGCGGGGCCGCCAGCGGCTAGTCGCCCTCGGCCGCGGCCACACCGGCCAAGAACTGCTCGTTCAAGAGGCCGAACCCTCATGGCTCAGCTCCCAGGAGGCGCAGCACGAGACCTGGATGGGGGCTGCAGTAGTCCGCGCGCTTGGACTCCTCGATCGCCAGCTGCCCCCGCTGCGTGAGCCCCGCAATCGGCTGCCCGTCGACCGAGAGACCCCTCGCCAAGCGCGCTCGCGCGACGGCCGGCCGACCCGCGCCAGGCGCCCGGGGCGCGCGGCGCGGCCGCGGCGGATGCAGCCACGTTGGGGGGCGGCTGTGGTCGATCGCGGCGGTTGCCGGAGAGCCAGCCTCGGAGCCTACGTCAGCGCGGATCAGGCGGGTTGAGCTCCGAGGCGACCTGGCGGGCATGGAAGCGGGGCCCGCCCCGGCTTCTCGAGCTGAGACCCATCTGCTTCGCAACGCTGGTCGGCCAACTTTGCGCGCGCGCGCCGCCGCGCGCCCGGCTGCGACGGGCGGCGCGCCGCCCCGTGCCCGGCGACTGGCACGGCCGTCTTCGACGAGGCTGCTGCGCGGGAAACCACCCAGGCCGAGGCCCCGATGCGCGCCCTGGCACGAGCGAAGGGCCCGCGAGAGGCCCATCGGCAGCGCGCGCAGGCAGGGCGAGACGGGCCCCCCGGCGCCCGCCGGATGCCCAGCAACGCCGCAGCACAGCAACAAGCCCGCGCCCGGGCTCGGCAGCGATAACGCTCGATCATGTCCGGCGGCGCCAGCGCCCGGTGGGAAGCGACCAGCGCTGACGCCTCCCGATCCGCCTCCAACGCTCCGAAAGCAGACGGGGTAGGCAAACGCGTTGACGGCGCCGGTGGGAAGTCGCCGCCGACCACTCGCGCGTCGAGCGCGACCGAGTTGGCCACCCTTGCGCCCCGCATAAAACAATCCGAGGCCCGCCGCGCCCACGCCTCCAAGCAAGCGCTCCGCGTGGCCAGGCCTCTCTGAAAAAAATCACGCAATCGCGAACATTGCGCTTGAGCGCCGGGTCGACGCGCGCGCCCCGGAGACGCGTCTCCGCGCGGTGGCTACGGGCGGCCCAGGGCGGTCGCAGCGCGCGCCTCCTCCAATCCCCTAGCCGCGAGGCGCCCGCGTCCCCCGGCATATCGGTCAAGGGCGCGGGCTTGCTGGAGGCGGCGGCCGGGCGATCGGGTCGCCGTCGAAGGGGGCGACCGGTCCGCCACCGCCGGCGCAGCATGGCTCGCCTGACAGGAGCGCGCTGAGGGCCCCCTGCCCTGGAAGAAGATTGGGGGAAGGTGGCCCAACGCTCCAATAACTGAGGCGAATATGTGCCAGGGCCAAGCGCTGGCCCGCGCGCGGACCGACGTCGGGGCTGGAACCAGAACTGACACGCGCGCCATTCAGCGCGGACGCGCCCCCGAACGCCCACCTATCAGCATGGGCAGCGCGAGAACGGCGGCGGGCCATGCTGCGGTTCGCGGCATCTCTGCAAATTGGTCGGGCGGCACCTCGAGCGCGGGCAATGGCCAAAGGTCCCGCTGGCGACCTTCACCCGCGCCCGCGGGGGAGCGGCATCACGCGGGGCGGGCGCAAGTCACGGCGGAGGGCGCCCAAATTCCCCCCGCCGCCAGGCGCTCGCGCATCTCCCCCGCGCCCACGCTTGCCCTTCTTGCCTTTGTGCTTAACAGAAGACGCTGGGGGGGGGGGCTGAATCCCGCCACGCCTTGCGGCGCCCCTCCGCGAACGCCGACTCCTTCGAGAATGGCGGGGCCACGCGCGTCTGCAAGAACGGGCAGACGCGCAGGATGCACCTCCAGAACTAGCCCCCGGGCAGCAGGAGGCAAATGTGGCTCTTCACCTCGTTCTCGCCAGCAAGGTGATGGCAGCACTTCTCCGCCTGAAAATGCCGGGAGCGGCGCGCCACCTCGCGCGACGCCAACAACGGCGCGCGCAGCGGGTCGTGCAAGACGCGGCGGCCCTCCAAGTGTTCCACCATGCCCAGGTCCGCGTCCGCGAGGCAACGACGCGCCCCGAACAGCGCGTGCCCCGAGAGGCGAGGCTCCATCTTTGCAGATGTAGCGCCTGGCCCGGAGGCAGGTCCAGACGCCCGTCGAATCCCAGTCAGGCCAGAAGTGCGCCACCAGGCGCGGCTCCCCCTCCATGGACACGAAGCGTCAAAGTCCGAAAATGTCGTAGCTGACAGCCAGCGCACTGTGGCCCCCCGCCGACACGCTCAGGACGCACCCCGAGGCCAAGTCGAAAGGTCGAACTCGAGCTCGCCGAGGGGTGGGGGTGCGGGGAGCTCAGTCGAGGCTCCCCGGGCGGAGACAGCAGGCGCCTTGGCAGTCGTCAGCAGCCGCCCGAGACAGGGAACGCAACCTCCGCCAGGCGCCGCCGGCACCGCGCCATGGCCTGCGAGCCGCACGCCGTCAGCCCTCTCCCCCTCGGGAGCGGCCAGCTTGTCGTAGTCGTCGAAATCCAGCGCCCGACTGTAGCTGAGCG